TAGGGTTTAGGGTTGAGGGCCCTAGACCTGAAGATTTGCCAGGATCAGCTCTAACCACCCCACCCTAAACCACCACCAGGTAACTTGGCGGGAACTGCACCCTGAAGCTCAGGCCACCACAAGCCTACATCCGTAAGATCCCAAGTACCTAGATACCCCGTATGTACCCCTCTGGGCCCAAACAATCCCCCAACGAGGACAAAGGCCCATATTCCGGGCCCACAGTTCCAACCCCTCCATGAACTCAAGGCCTATAGCTTAGGGCTGAAGGTCTTTAATTCTAAGCCCTGCATATCCAAACCATGATGCGGAAGCCGGAAAAGCTCGAATAGTCTCTGTCACGTATTATACTATGGCTATGTTCAGATAAGGGGACAGCGTTCCTGAGTGTTCAAGTTCTCCTATTAAGCCTATGAGCCACAAAAACGAAACATACAACCTAACACCTACAAACCTAAAGCCCAATTATTGGGCCCTTGAACTTCTTGCCATCACATGGAGCCTCCGCCACGACCGCCCTCACTTCCGGGCACTTCGGCCTTCGGTTGTGGAGTTGGGAGTTGGAGTACCGGAAGATAATGGTCATGAGCAAGATGGAGTTTACTTGGAGGCCCGCGGAACTTAATAAGTACGCATAACTGGGATTATAACCCTACTTGTAATTGGGGCCTCCCCTATAAGCCCATTTAGGCGCATTATATACGGTTTTCAGCCCAGCTATAAGTAGTTACTGAGTCCCATGGGCCTCCAAGTAGGGTGCAACATTTGGGTTTCGGGCCCCCCCCCAGCCTAAACCCTAGACCCTACACTGCGACTATTTGAATCTGCTCTGGCATTCTCCATAAACATTTTTGGGGTGGTTAGAAGGAGCAAAGCGCCAGGAAATCCCAATTGATTTGGGTTCACCCGTAACCGCAAGTAGTCCATACGTAAACACATATTCCTTATCCCTGCCTATTATTGAGCGAGGGGCGAGATTATGTCAATAAGTAAGCCAAAGTGAAACCGCTCCCTCTAACACTCATGTCCCAACCTACCTAACAAGGAATATTGTCCATCTAGCACCAAGTTTCAGTACGGGGAATTTCAGAAAGGGGGGAGGTGATTTGGACTGACGGCTGGGATTTAAGGATTGGATTGTTTCGATTCCTGCAAACTTGGCCCCCAAGCCCTACATGCAAAGAAGCGCTTGGCACACCAAGTCCGTGAAATCGGGGGGCCCAGAATCCTGACCCCTTCCAAGTTCATTTTGAAGCCGTCACAAAGCATTGTACGCAGCAGCACACCCGGCTGCACCTTAGGGATTAGGGTTTAGGGACGTTGGCAACTGGGCATCCCTGATGATCGTTAGACCCGTCGCAGTGTCCGGGGCTTTCTCCAACCTGAGGCACATGGGTTATTCTCAAAAATATTGGCCCGTTTAGTTTTGGGGCATATTACGGCACCTATAGTTAGGGGTACTAAAAAAAGACCTCAATTTTGAGAACTCCCCACATTTGAGCTTAAGCTCCCTGCAAGTCTGGGCCCTCGAAATGATCACTGCGTGACACATCAGCGGACATCGGAGTGCAATCGAGAATCACAATGTCAGGAGACCTGCCCCTCAACATAGCAAGAACGCACCGTGGCCCAAGCGCAAGTCTTGTCATCAAGCTCACAATCCCTAAGTTGAACACTCTAAATCCCCAACCCCAAACCCCATACCCCATAGAGGTTACGCCCAGCATGAATACAGACTGCGAAGGGCAAAGTTGAAGCGGTCCATGTCCATGGTCCGGCGGAGCAGGTGCAAGGTACTCCTAGACCTTACCCCACACCAAATCTGAATCCTAAAGTCCTCCACCACAAGCCTTCGACACTAAGACGCTAAATTGACTTGTTACTTGCTATGAGGGGCCCTTGTACAACTTCCTGATTGTCATCCCTCTCTAACCCTGAGGTCCCCAGGTGTACCCTATTTTGAGATGTAAGCTCTGAACCCTAAGCCCTGCTTCCAGCGCCTGGCCCCAAATGCTTCGCATCTCGGTGACGCTCTCCGGCGGCTCCTCCCCCACGTCAGCATCCTGAAGGGAAGAGCCCGTTCGTTAGGCTTAAGGGCTGAGGGTTGAGGACATATATATATATATACGTATATTATGTATATATAGAGAGAGAGAGAGAGACAGAGTTTTGGGGGCTTGGAAGGTTTGAGAGTACAGGATTAATTTTTCTGAGCTTAGGGTATAAGGTTTATGGCATAGGACTTTTAATTCTGATGCCTAAAGTGCGTTGTACAGTACAGGTCTGTGATATGAGCTACGGTCAATATTTCTCGGATAATTACTGGACACGGGTTCCTTCTGTTAGGGACTGCGCTAAACTAGCGGAGGGACCCCTATGCCCACCCTTACCTTAAGGGTCCAAGGAGCCAAATAATAGGGCGTTTAGGGCCCAACTACCATTAATATTCTAGTATTTGGGCCCTAAAACCCTATTGTTTGGGTCCTTGGACCCTTAGGGTTCAGGGTCCCTTGGCAAGCCCCATATTGACACTAGCTGACATGGACTATCATGTTTACAGTCCTCCCTGAGCCGCGCCTGCACAGCCTGATTACCACAAAGAACGAATTGCATAGACCTAAGAACAGCACTTTATGATACACTGTGATTTTCTTACAAGTCTTCTGGGGAACTGGCATTTGTAGCCATGCAGGTACGTTACTTGCATCATTCAAGGCCGACCACCTCCCTGCGGCTTAGGAGGACCCTCAAAATCTTGAATCTGCTACGCCTGACTGCCCCTGGTAAAGTAGCTTCCTTACCCTGAACCGCCACTGCCTTAGGGGGGGGGGGTGCCTTCTTCTTGATCTCAGCAGGTAACGCCTCCGCCTTTGGCGACGATTTGGCTACTGCTTTCTTCTTAGGCACAGCTTGTTCCTTCGAAGAGGCCGGCTCCACCTTCTCCGCATGCGAGTTGGTGCCGCTTTCGCTCTCCGAAGCTGTGTCACCCAACGGCGAGCTGTAGTCTGACATCTCTTCTGAAAGTTCGCCACCCAACTCTTGTACCTTAGCCTCCAATTTGCGTAGACCATTCCGTGACTTCTTGATAGCCTTGTTGCGTCGTCGTATCCCCTCCCGTAGATCACCAATTCCACGATTGTATTGGGCTCGGGCCACTCGCAGAGAGCGCTTGCAGGCGTGAATGCTAGTCAGCGGCATGGGTGTGTAAGGCCGAATGCTAAGGCTCAAATATATTCGGATGTGAAGCCAATAAAATCTTGGGACTTACGCACATGCTCCGCAACCAGTACACGCATGCTGTATACAGACTCCGCTACCACTGATACACTTAATATTGTTGTACTATAGCAATATTCATAGAGCATAGCGTATGCAAGCAGGAAAGCAGATAGAATATGGGGTACATGGGGATCTTGTAATGATGTGCGGTACTTGAATCTTCTATCTGCTTAAGGGAGGGGGGTACAACACTAAACGCTAACCCCTAACCCTAAACCCTAATCCCTATCAATCTACCTAAGGGGGATTATAGGGGTTGAGGGTAGAGGGCAGCACCAGCCGACGCGGCGGGACAGGCAACCCCAACCCCACAGGTAGGACCCTCATAAAAGCAAATGCTTGACTAGGGACCATTGAGGATTTAGGGATCAGGGTGTAGGGCTTAGGGATTATGATTTAGCATTTAGGGATTAGGGTTCGGGGACTGTAGCTCATATGCTAGCTGTAGCTGTCCAACTCTGGAGGTCAAGTTTGCCAACATATCTTCTCGTTGCAGTCAATTGCGAGGATTGAAGGTTAAAAAAACCCAAAACCCAAAGCCAATCCTGAGACTTCTAAACCTGGAACGCGAACCCTTAGCCCTCAGCATCAAACTCTGTGCTTGGCCAACTTTAAACCCTACCCTACACCACTGAACGAATGAAAGATTGGTAACCCCAACCTCTACAATAAAACCGTCTCACTGTCACATGACTGAATGGGGTCCAATTTTTGCGGTTGGGGTAAACCCTACACCCTAAGCCATAAACCCAAGCCCTAAATGATCAAAAGCTTCTCACAGATTCAGACCCTCTGGGATCTAACTCCCTCCCCAGTAATAATTCCACCCCTCACAACTAGTAAATAATGAGCGAAAACTATAGCTGTTTTCGATGTGCAGATCTACTTCTATAGAAAGTTTTAGATGTGCAGATATACTTCTATTCATATATATACATATATCTATATCTAGGGTACGGATCATTAGGGGAATGGGCAGTGCTACCGTGAACTTATGGAAAAGTCAAAGCGCAAGGCCTAAACGTTGAAACCTCTAAATCCTTTGCTCCGCACGAGCGTGACAAGTTAAGTTACAAATGAGCGAATAGCAAACAAGCTTCACACCCTAACTCCCCATACCTTGAAGCCTAGAGGCTGAACCACCAAGCCCAAATGCAGAACTCCGAATCCTGAATGAACGCAAAACCACCATCCCAGAGCACGCAAATCCAAAATCTCAAAAACCAGACACCCTGAAAAAGATACTTGGAGGGTCAGGGGGGCTGAGAAGATTTATGACGGGGATGTCTGGGTTATCACATAGCTTCTCCGAGTTATATGTACACGCGCAGAGCTCCGGGGTTTAGCGTCTAAGGTTTAGGGCAAGCGCCTCAACACAAAACCTAAACCCTAAACCCTTAAACCCCTAAACCCTAAACCCTTAAACCCTAAACCCTAAACCCTAAACCCTTAAACCCTTAAACCCTAAAAACCCTAAACCCTGAATCAAAGGCTCTCCTGGACCAGCAGAGCCCACTCGGCCTCTTCAGGGCAAGAGCTGAGTAGTGTATTTTTTGGTGGTTGAACCTAGCAAGAAAATACTCCTTGGGGTTTAGGGTTTAGGATTTGGGGTTTAGGTTAGGGTTTAGGGGATTAATTCCTTATACAAAATAGTATACCCCGAAAAGGAGGATAGAATCTTACTCTATAATGGGTACCATAGTATCCCCAAATAAAATACTACTCAGCTGGAGTCATGGTTTAAGGACCTATTTGGAGGGCCACTGGCTTCAGCAAGTACTTCTGACTGCGGCGAGAACCCTAAGCCCTCCATATATTTGGGTTGTCTCATAAGAAGGAAGTTCGAATCGCCTCAAAGTTGGATGTAGAGATGTGCAATATATACATATGTATATATGTATATATACATATATATATACACCTGTATGTATGTCTGCTACTGCTACTTCTCAAGACTGAGGAGGTATTGCTGTAGGGGATGTTCAGCAACCCGCATCGTCGTCCCCGATACGCGATTTTTGACAACGGCGCATGGAGAGACACAAAAATACCTAAACCCCCATAAGTTTGTAAAAAGAATGGCCTTAAGTTATGGCTGTTATTTTATTATGGGTTTAAGACTATTCTTTTACATACTTTCGGGGTTTAGGTATAGTTCGTCCCAAAGAAGATAGGATCCGTTGGGTGCAGGATCCTTTCGGTGCTCTAGACCATCAATCCTAGAGCCGCTGTGGATGGAGGAAACCTTGAAAAACTTCCGCGCCGTATATCCCCCTACTAAACGTTAAATCTTTTTTATTTATAATCAGAACATACGGGAACTCCCAAAGTCCGAAAGGTTAAGGGTCTAAGGTCCTAGCTGAGTGCCAAAGAGGTTTGTAACCACAAATGAAGCAGGATTCCGGCCATCCAGAACAGGTAAACCCGAGACTGTAAACCTTAGACCTAAACCCTGTAGGCCTTGACTGTACCCCGAGCCTCAACCCCCAACCCCAATGCCCAAACCGCGAGCCCCGGCAAAAGACACAAAACCCTAAACCCTAAACCCTAAATCCTAAAGCTCTTCGCCTGTCGCTTTCGACGCGAGGTGCCCCGACGGGCCACGGCTTCCAAGAGGTGTCGACTCTCCTTTGAAAGGTGTAGGGTTTAGGGTTTAAGGCTTACCCTCCAGGTCCAGCATCCCACAAACATATACTTTAGATCCTTGTAGTGTGAAGCGTAAAATGAAAATTCCACAATTTGGACCCTTAGGTTTAGGTGTTAACCGGGACCACCCAACTACCCTCAAATCAGAAGGGGATAGGGTCTATAGGTAGGACCTTTTTGGGCTCTGTAAAGGCTTCTAGGGCTTAAGGTTGAGAGCACAGAGGGTTTCAAGGTTCAGGGTCTTCGGGTCTAAGACCTCAGGAGCTAACATTCAGGGTTTGAAGGCTTGAAGGTGCAATGTGCATCAATGCCTGCTTTTCATGCAGTATTTGGGTGTTGAGGCTTGCGAAGTACAATAACTTCATACTAGCCAAACACACGCCCACAGAATCCTAAGCCCGAAGCCCCAAACCCCAAATCCTAAACACCAAGTCCGAAAATCCAAAACCCTAAATCCTGAACCCTAAACCCAAAATCCGAAACCCCAAACCCCCTAAAGTATTTGGAACACACTGATTACATTCGCGGGCTTTGGGCAATTGTTTTACCAAGTCTTGGGGTTCAGGTGGTATGAAGTGTGCAGTATCAAGGCAACTCATTGAACATATGTAGTCATACGAATAATTCGGCAAACTCCTTTGGGACTCGGACCGCAGAACTACCATGTACAGGGGACCTGTACCCATTACCCTTATTCATAAACTTACCCAAAACCAACTCTTAAATCCAAAGCACAAAGCTGCTAGATGTCATGCCAAAGACGCCAAGTCCTCAACATCCTGAATCTACTGGCGCTTAGTAGGGAATAAGGGAATATCATGCGTACATACTCCCTAGATAATGTATATTCCTTGATTCCTACTACCCCTCAGTAAGTAAACCCTCATGAAAGGACGTAGTAGCCGGCAAGCAAGGCTGCTTAGCAATCCTCCACGCGACCTGCTTTCTCGAGCGCCAGGGCCATGTACAGCTCAAGTCCCTGGTACAGGGTGTAGGGCTTAGAGTTTAGGGTTTAGGGAGTTTCGCATTTGAGTGGGTTATCAGGCGTTGGGTCTAGGAATTCAGAATTGAGGCACTCAAAAAAGGTTTTCACACCCAAACTAGCGCCGCATAACGAAGCAGCCTAACCAAGGTAAACATGGCACAATCTTGGGTACAAAGCCCATTTCAGCATGCTGTAGGTAGGCTATGTGGAGGGTCAGGGGAAGCAAGCGCGCAGTGACTAAGTCTGTTGGCCTTGGAGGTGTGAAGCCTATAAACCCTACTTGGACCCCTCTTTGAGGGTACACACCCAAAAAGCCGGACATAAAGCTCTAGGTATCACTTTAGTCCTGGGGACTCTGAGGCCCCACACTACTTAGTTACTTGGCACCTCACTACCCATGCAAACCCGAATACAGAAGGAACATGACCACCCTAGTAGCAGGCTACCAGGTACGGGTTGTTCAAAGAGTTCCTATGATTTGGCATCTGAGCATTCTGCGTCCACAATCAAGGCAAACTCACCACAGGAAAGTTCATCTGCAGCATCTGGAAGTCTGGAAGTAATCATCCCCCCGTAAGAATGCCCACCTGCCCAAGAAAGTCCCCGTGCCCAGAAAGAAAAGTATTTGTGTACATATAACCGCATATACTAGAATCCTAGGGACCCAGGGGGTCCACATATACAACCATTAGGGGATTGGGACTTGTAATTCCTTCTATAGTATGGTATTTTGGGGCCTAATTCCCTAATAGTTGTATACATGGATCCTGTGGGGGATCGGGAGCTTCTGTAGCTTATGGAACGGCCACTGGGCACTCAAACAAACGCGGCAAGTTAAATCGCGTGTAATCAATTGTCACAGGCATTGAACAAGGGTTTATTAGGGTTTAGGGTTTGAGGATTAGGGTTTAGGGTTTAGGGTCATGGCCCTGAAAAAGTTGCCATTAGGCTGACCACGATTCTTGGAGGCTTGGGTTCCACTCTCAGATGGAATCATACCTCAAAAGCACCTCAGACGCTTCGGCGTCTGGCACATGGTTCCGGATGGAAGTTAAGGACCCCCGTTGCTCTCGCCACGCTCAACCCATACTCAGGGGGAGGGGCCTTAAACTGCTTAAACTGAAATCGACCCCTTTTTCAACTTGAACTGCATCCCGGGCAATACCGCTTCTGTTTGGTTCAGAAGAAAAGCTGGAGGCAGCTATATGTATCGAGTTGGCTGAATACCGAAACCGATATCTTCAACCCGAAAGCCACAACCCTTCATAGCCCGAAAAGTAGGTATAAC